GCTTTCAGCCTACGTCTGACAGCTAGCCCCCTGGGTGGGATAACTCTGAGGCATAGTCTTCTTCATTATCTCTCAGAGTTCCCCAAAAGGATTAAGCTCCAGCTTCCTGTGCTAATAATTTGCTTGATATGCAGCCTTTATTGGCTTCCTTCCTTTCTGTCTCATTCCCTGATATACTACCTGGTTTTACTAGGATCACCTTTTTAGAATAAACTATTTAACTTCTTATTTCAGGGTCTGCCTTTTGGGGGAACCCAAACTAAGATACCAATATTTTTCCAAATTTCTGTGGGTCTTGGTTCTTCGGATCATCTCTGACTCCTAACAGCTGTTTTCAAAGTATAGAATCTCAATCTCTCTCTCTCTCTCTCATCTGTATTAGTTTTCTATGCTGCATAATAAATTGTCACAAATTTGGCAGCTCGAAAGAACATACATATATTATCTTACAGTTTCTGTGGGTCAGGAGTGCAGGCACAGCTTAGTGGCTCTTCTGCTCAGGGTTTCACCAGACTTCAGTTAAGGTGTTGGCTGGTGGGAATTCCTTTCTGGGGCTCAGAGTGTTCTTCCAAGCTCATGTGGTTGTTACAAGAATTTTGTTTCTTGTGATTATAGGACTTATCTTGCCAGTTGTTGGCTAAGGGTTGCTCTCGGCAACTAGAAGTCACCAGCAGTTCTTTGCCATATGGCCTTTTCACAACATGACAGTTTATTTCATCGACTGGATAATCTCTCCCTGGTCTGCTAAGTCTGGGTCTTACATTAGGTAACATAACCTAATCAAAGGAGTGGCTATCCAAACATTTTTGCTATATTCTCTCAGCTAGAAACACATAGCCATTCTGCATTTGTGTGTAGTAAACTTTTCTGAAAGTTTTGCAGAAGACAGAGGAGGAAGGGTTTTACAGTGTAACAATACAAGCTGTTCTTCAGGTTTCTTCAGCTCCCCCAACCGCGTTGCTCTCGCCACCTCTTCCCCTCTTCATTTCTCTCCTCTCTGCTCTTTCCCCACTCCCAAATTCCTGTTTATTTCTAATGCACAGCAGTTTATCTTTTTATTCCTTGGCTCTTTATGCTTAAGGCCTTACTTTCCTTACATGTGGCATATCTAGATATTTTTCTTGCTGAAGACAATTCCCTCTGTAAGAGAATTTGGGTGCCATTTGTTGGAAGATTCTTCTTTTCATCCTACTACCAAAGATTATTTACAATTCAATGAAGGGGACAGATATGACTTAATAAGAGGAAATGAATGAAGAGAAGGAAGGAAAAATGCTAAATATAAAAATTACCACTGATGTTATGGTAGCAGTAAGGCCAAAACCTTTCTAGTAGTGTTGTCAGTGCCAGAACATTCTTCCTGGAGCCTGGAAACAAAGGACAGGCCAAGTGGGTGAGGATGTTCTGAAATCTAATGGTAGAGTTTTAAAAATTGGTATTTATTTACACATCGTGTGTGTGTGTGTGTGTGTGTGTGTGTGTTTACCTCTTCTTGCCTCTACTATTAAGTAACTTTAGGAGTTCTGGGCCCATCATTAAATAACACTTTAACTCTGGGCAAATTACTTAACCTTTCTGTCCCTCAATTTCATCATGTGAAAAATAGGATAAGGTAATCTCAAATGTCTCTTGCTGTGGGGGAGTCTGTTGTTTTGCGATTGCTCTGCCACTTCTACTAGACCTTCAGTTCTTTGAAGATAGAGCTCATTTTTATACTCCCTAGCCAGCTTTCCCCCACCTCGATTCCCATAGAGGTCTGAATAGGGTGGTAATGCAGTCAAAATCACTAACTGCCTCCTTCCTAGGGATGGAACACTTCTGAATCTGAGTTAAAGCTGGCAGGGTGTGTGTGTGTGTGTGTGTGTGTGTGTGTGTGTGTTAAAAAGGTTCTGTCATAAGCTTATTACATCATGGTTTTACCTACATGAAGGTTATTTTCAGCAGCACATTTTGACAGGGTACATAGAAGTCTAAGTAATGCTGAATTCAGTAACGAGATTTTATTGCACTCCAAATGAGGAGTGACCTGAAGCAATTGTTTACAGCAAAAAGGCAAGAGGACTGGCCCGTGCTGCTCAGAAGAGGATGACCTTGGAAATGCATCTGTTGAAGTACTCAGAGGAGGAAGGGGCACTTGGCTAAGCATGGGCCTTACTGCTGTCAGCCAAGCAGTCTGTCTACACCATTGCTTGAGTAGCCACATTATTCAGAGCTCAAAATTGGACCCTGCAAGGAGACCCATAAGAAGGAAGAGTTACAGTTTCTGCCCCAGAGAATTTCCCAGGCTGTAGTAACCACACGTTCTGATCAAGAGCGGGGCATGCAGGCTAACGAGTATAAATATACTTTTGAAGTTAAAGAAACGTAATGTTTATAATCAGGATGTCCCTAAAAATAAAACCACCTAGCCCACATTATCAACAATTATATGAGACAGACATACCCGCAGGGAAAAAAAAACCAAAGAACACATAAAAGAGTAAAACAAGTTAAGCTATGACAGTTGAGAGAAACGCTATGTGTTACTGACAAGGACAAGCTGGCTTAATTATTACCTTATTTCTCTGTAACCCAATTGCCTATTGCTTATTGAATCAGTGGCCCCCTTAAACTGAATCTCCATTATTTCTGGAAATTCACAAAGGGGTGCTTTATGTGTGTTCACAAACTGGTCTGTCACCAGCAGTCATTATTTGGCCCCCTCCCTGCTCTCACTCTTTTGCCCCAGCTCCCTCTCACAGCAGTCTGTTTTTAATCCATTTATACCTATAAAGGACATCTATCCATGTTATTTATTCTTGAGAAGACCCCTCAAGTTCTCATCCATTCAATATTCAGCAACTATCTGTTGATTACCTACTATGTGCCCCACCCTGTATCAGGCAGTAGGGCTACAGACTAAGGGCTACCAGAAAGACACAGACTTTCAATCAAAGAGCTCTCTGCTCATTAGGAGATGAAGGCACATAAGCAGACGATATAAGCTTCTTTAGGTCTACTCATATTAAAAAGACCTGAAGCAAAATTGCAAAATTGCCCCTTCTACACTCAGATGGGCAAAAAAACTGTAGTGCTTTTGTGACTTTGCGGCAGCTGTGATCTTCCTGTGAGCCTCTCACCCCCAAGGCAGCAGAGGAAAATGAAATGGGAAGTTCAGTCGGACCAACAAGTCTCTGTTTGAACAACTCTGGTAATTGCTCAATTAGTCTTTCCACTTTCCTCCCCCAACCCAGCTCCTCTCTAAGAAGGGTTGGGGTGAACATAGGTAGCGTGCCTTCAGTGACCTTGCGGCAACAAAGGGTGACAGTGTCCATAGACCTATGTAGTCTTCTCAGGATTCCCACTGGCCTCTGCATGAGGTCTAGATTGTTCCCTGGTCTGGTGAGATACATACCTGATTCCCATCAGGGAAGCTGGTGGCTCTTGCCGTGGCCTGTGCTTTGCTCCCTGTCATCCTTCTATCAGCCTTATCTCAGTTCTCAACATCTCTGAGTCCCTCAAGGGAGCTTCTGGGCATGTTCAGGCACTTGCATATTCTGCATGGGTATAAGGGGCCTAAGGTTTATTTCTAGGACAGGGGAAGGGGGATGTTGAGAATTTACATCTTCCTTAGGTCTCCCGCTATCACATATTTCTTTCCATAATTTTTGAGCTAAAAAAAGGATATATCAGGCTATTTCCTGAACATCATATCCTCCTTGTAGCCTCAAACAATAGGCCTCAAGGCCTAGTCATCACAGACAAAAGAAGCCACTTGTCTATAGTCCTGTGGAAGAACTCTCTGATTCGGTCCACAGGCTGCTCTGAGAAACATCAAAGGGGTAGATAAAAGAAATTAAAATATCCTTTTGTCCCCTACAGGCCTGATTTTCAAAGCTTTCATCTTACTACTGACTCTTAATACTATTTTAGATGCCAGAAGCTGAATGTTGAGTTTCTGTTTTTCATTGTATACCTGCAGAAACAACATAAACTCTTTCAGAGGCAGACAAATGCCTTGAGCTGTCTAGGAAAAAGTCATAGACACAAAGATACAAAAGGGAAAAAAAAATCTCATTTATATTATTCAGAATATTTTTTGGAGTTCTTCTGAGAAGTTCAAAACCAATGCCTCCCAATTCTTCTCCCCATCCTTCAGCTCATTAGACTATGCAGTGGACCTTTAGTTCTAGAAACCTGGCCTACTCAGGCTTTCTTCGGGATATAAAAAGAATGTTTGGATAGACAACTACTGCATTTATAAAACTAAGATCAGAGATAGAGACGACCAAGGGGGGAGTTATAAACTTTGGTCTCACCGCAATATAAAGATCTCTACAAAAATGAAAAAGACGAGGCCGGTTGTTGCTGTCGTTGTCGCTGTTGTCGTTGTTGTTTAAAATGTCATCTTTGTAAGAGAATTTTTTAGATACTCTACTGTACCAAATCTTCATCAATCCTCCCAACAATTCCTACAAGGAGGCGACAGTTTCCCCATTTCACTGATATGAAATTGAGGGTTAATGAGAGGTGTGAGCTGTTAGTAGGCACACATTCCACTGACAGCCCTCGTGAGAAGTAATGATGGGGTAGGGCAGAGCTAGGGTGACTCTCCTCAGCACAGCCTGAAGACAAGAGGAAGTGACCAGACTGAGAAGCTAGTGACAGAGCCCAGGATGCTGGCTAATAGGGTGCCACCTCCATCCTTGCTCTGACATGTTCTAGGAAATAGGCTGGAGGCAGGGGAATGAACAGAGTGGCTTCTGGTAAAAGGTCCCTAGCATCTATAGAATTCTACGATAGGAAAAAGAACCACAAGTAGGATCAGACGGGTATGAAAATGATAGAATTCAGGCCATTTCCAATCTTCTTTGGGCCAAAACAGGGATTTTCCATTTCTTTGGCAGTTCTCTGGAGTCTCGCATTCCCTGGCCTTTTGAAAGCTCGCTTTCTCCCTCTTCAGAGCTTATTGCATGCAGGTCTGTCTCTGGCACACACCATCTTTCTCAGGAACAAGGAGCGTGAGGCGGAGACAGGATGAGTTGGGATACAAGGTCCAATTTAGTGTGTGCCCCAACCCAGTCCCCACTGAGCCCGAATCCTCATCTCCCCCTGGTAGTGGGCACAGTGTAGCCAGGGAAGAACTAGAACCACGGGGACCCATCAGGTTGGCATCCCCACTGAAGATGATCTCTTAAGCAGATACCCCCTCTGAACTGGGGATGTAGGGCTTTGAAACTAGAAAATGCCAGGTCTGAAAGAGAGGAAAGAACAAGCCCAACAACACACAGAGCTCTGTGTATTCAGAGGGAAGTTGGCAGGGCTGTGCTCGGGCAGAGAAACTCCTAGTGGTACAAAGAGACGTGCCCAGAGTGGAGAAATCATGCTAATTGTCTGCACCAGAGCTGGAGAACGCCACCCAAAATGAAGAGAGAAAAGGGAGCCCTGTCCAGAGCTTTCAGTGCCCTGCACCTTGCTCCTTTTGTCTACCTTCTTCTGATCCAGACAGGTAGGAGCCCAGAAGGGTAAGAAAGGGTCTGGAGAAGGGAGTGGGGCTTTCAAAGGAGAGGGAGGGGAGAGTGGAGGGCCAGAATGCCTTTGGGGTGGGAGGAGGGGAGAGAGCTCAGCTGCCCTGGGAAGCATCTCAGTGAATTCAGGCACTAGTGTTGAATGTATTTCTTCATTCCGTTGCCTACTGCCCAGCCCCTGCCCCCTCCCTCAAAGGCTGCATGACTTTGGAGCTCCCACGGCATTCAGGACATTCGATGGAGGGCAATGAGCCATTTCTTATGCGATGTCTTGTCGGCATGGGCCAGAGCAGCATTCTTTCCAAGGATTATGGTGGGGCTTGGAGGAGTGGGAGAATCTTGGTTTTGTGCCTCCCCGGCTCCCCCACCCTGGGTTCTTTGTGTGTAAAATAGCGAGAGATATAAGAAGCTTTGGAGATAATGAGACTCCTGGTTTAGGGCGTAACATCAACCTACCCATAACTCTCCCTACACCGTAGACAGCTGCCTCCTGTACCACCCCACCAACTCCTTGGAAAATTGATCTTGTTTTATCTGTGTATGTGCGCATGTGTGTGTGTGTGTGTTCCAGAGAGCCCAGGAATTCACAATAGTTGCAGAGTAGATGCAGAGATCGTTTTAATAAAATGCAGAAACTATTACGAGTCAGATATGCAAAGGATGCCCAGGATCAGAGAGAGGTCACCTACCCCATCCGGAAGCGGTGCTAATGGTGCAGGGATGGGCAAGTATCAGGGAACGTCTCCTGGGAATGTCCGCACTACATTTCAAAGGATGAGAAAAATAGGCAAGTGTGGCAGTGAGCATTATAGTTGGGAAAGTGGGCAAATGTCAACAGCTTGAAATGGTATCCTATGTTTAAGAGCAGCCCAGCCATTCATGCTTACTGGAGAAGAAAGTGTGATCTGAGTTAGGCAAGAGCCTTGTAAACCACACTAAGGAATATAGTCTGTAAACAGTGGAGCAGGAGGGCATCGAATGGTTTTAATCTGGGCACAGGCAGGGCCAGATGTGCATTTCGGAAAGCTCACTCTTCAATGGGGCTTTGGAGGGGAAACTGGAGGCAAACAAGATAGAGAAGGAAAACCATATCCATTTCCTAGAGCTGCTATAACAAAAAACCACAGAGCGGGTGGCTTAAACAACAGAAATTTATTGTCTCACAGTTCTGTAGGCTAAAAGTTTGAGATCAAGGTGTTGGCAAGACCATACTCCCTCTGATGGCGCTAGGGAAGAATATGTTCCAGGCCTCTCTGTTAGCTTCTAGCAGTTCCTTGGCTGTGGCAGCATAACTTCAGTCTTTACATGACATTCTCCCTGTGCCCATGTGTGTGTCCAAATTTCCCTTTTAATAAGGACACCAGTCATATTGAATTAGGGGCCCATCCTTCTCCAGTATGACCCCATCTTAGCTTATCTTTGCAATAACCCCATTGTTAAATAAGGTCACATTCTGAAGTACTGAGAGTTAGGACTTTAAGATACGCATTTGAGGGGATACGATTCAACCCATACCAAGGCTATTGCAATAATTCAGGAGAGAAATAACATAGGCTGGAATTAGAATAAAGATAGAAAGAATGAGACCTGTTGAGATAATATTTTGGAGGGAAAATCAGAACCTAGTGATTGATAAGAAGTGGGAGGATACAGAGAGGCAGGTAGGGTTTCTGTGTGAAACCTTAAACAAACAAACAAACAAACAAAAATGGGATAGGGCTGAGGATGTGGTAATGAATATTGTCCATGTAGACATTGAAATGCCTATGACACATCTGTGGAAAATGTTGGATGGCCTAAGGTAGGGGGCACAGGAACGTCAGGGCTGAAGAGAGGTATTTGGAAGCTGTCAGCCCATAGGTGAGATTTAAAACAATGTGAATAGATAATAACACCTAAGAGGAGAAAATGGAACACTGAGTAACCCCAAGATTTGTAGAGGAAGGCAGAAGGAAAAAAATCCCACTGAGGTGACCAAGAAACAGTCACAGAGACAGAAGTAGAATTAGAAGACTGTGGTGTCCAGAAAGTCAAAGGAGTTGGGAGTTTTCTGGAGAATCAGTATAAACTGTATCAAAGAGGTTTAGTATAATAAGGACCTAAAAGGGTTGGTTACATATGGCAATTAAAAGGTTACTGTTAGCCTTAGTGAGGGGAGTCTCAGTGGAAATTACAGTGAGTTGAGGAAATAAGGACAGCCGTAGATATGGAGACATTGAATTGTGTACAGGAAGTACATATGAAACATATAAATCATAAATGTCCCTAAACTCCTTCAGGTCATCAAATGGTAAAGAAAAAATTATAGAAAGATATTGTTAGTCAGTGTGACTAGGCAAAAATAAAAGATGATAAAGGATCTGAAGTGTGGGAGACTGTAACAATAAATACAGCAAAAAGTTCTAAATGTAAACTATGTTCATAAGATATTAGTTATGACCTATAACAGGTGAGAGGTAAGTCCAGAGTCAGGTCATTATTCTGCTGTGGACTCAAGAGCAATAAAGTGCTGAGATTCTATAAGGAGTTTCTTCAACATATTAGTTAGGAAAATGCCAACTTCTGCGACAAATAAATTCCAAAATTTAAGTTCTTGGCCTTAACCATGTAGTAGTACAATGAAGTTTCAGGCTAAGCCTGAGATGAGGAAGGACTCTGCTCCATGAAGATTTTCAAGAACCAAGCTGATGGAGCTCTATCAACTTTGACGTATGTTTCCAATGGTCACCCTGAGGTTTGTCTTCTTTTCTTTCAGGTAGAGAATTTTTTAAAGGTTGGTAGGGTCCTGTGAGTGGCACCTATCACTTCCACTGGTTCATTGGCTAGAACTCAGTCACATGGCCATACCTAATTGCAAGGGAGGCTGGGGAATACAGATTTTAAGATTGGCACTTAAAGTAGGGCTGGACCATGTCTCCCTGGCTCCCAGAGAATTACCTTAATCCCTTTGCTTACGGCAACAACTATCGAGCCAGCCTAAGCAAATAACACTCAATCTTTAATGTTCTGTCCCTAATATGGACTAACGAGTCTTTCCTCAATTCAGCACAGCCCAATTCATGGAAAATTCAAACAAGTCTTTTCTAGAGGCTAGGGCACTATTTTATAGATACAAACACAGCATGCCATAAATCTAAATAATCCGATTTGCAAGATGTTACTCTCTGGGATCCTAGAACAATTCCATCCTCTCGTGACCCAATCGGAAAAAGTCTCTTGCCCGGGTTTCATCCTTTTAGATCTAAGATCACCTCCCCATTGTAGGTGCTGTCTTTTTGTTGTTGTTTCCAATTAAAAATTACATAGAGGAAAATGACTTTAGCATAAGGCTACAGTTTGATGAGCTTTTAGCCCCCAAGATCAAGAAATAGAACACTTCAGCACCTCAGAAGTACCCCCATACTATTTCAGTTACAATTGCCCTCCCGCCAGGGTTATAGTGGTACCCTAACTGCCAATTCAGGAATCATATGTACACATTCTTTTATGTCTGGACACCAAATTTGTAATATTCAGCCATATTGTTGAAATTGTAATTTGTTTCGTCTCGGTGCTGTAGAGTACTCTATTGTATGAATATATCACAATTTCTTTATCTATTCAATTTTGATAGACACCTTGGTTGTTTTCAGTTTGGGGCTTTATGAATAGAGTTGTTAAAACATTCTAGCATGTGTGTCTTTTGGTGAACAGATATACACATTTCTCTAGGGGAATATACCTTAGAGCGGAATCGCTGAGTTATATGTGTGTGTTACGCTTTAGTCGATAAGGCCAAACAGTAAATAAGAGTTCCAGATGCCGTATGTCTTCACCATCAATTGTCTCCTCTTTTTCATTTTAGCCCTCCTATTGAGTGTGAGGTGGTATCAAATTATGGTTTAAAATTGCATTCCATGGTTATTAATGAAGCATCTTTTTCATATATTCATTAGCCTTTTGGAAATCCTTTTTGTGTGTGTGTGAAGTACCTGTTTCAAGTCTTTTGCCCACTGAGTTTTCTGGATTTTTTTAAAAAATATTGATTTGTGGGAGTTTAAAAAATATATTTGGGGTATGAGTGTTTTATAAGATAGATATGTATTACAAATATCTCCTACTCTACGGCTCGCCTTTTCTCTCTCTTAACAGTCTTTTGGTGAACTGCTCTTACTTTTATTGTGTCCAATGTATCATTTTCTTCCTTTATGGGTACCACACTATTGTGGCCTAATAAATCTGTGTCTGCTCTCAAGTTGTGGAGATATTCTCTTATGTTTTCTTTTTTAAATGTTATCATTTTACCTGTCACATTTAGATCTACAATCCATCTAGAACTGATATTTGTGTAATGTGAGAAGTAAGGGTCAAGATTCCTTTTTTTCATACTTGGCTCAGCACTATTCATTGGGGAAAAAATCCTTTTCCCATTACACAGTAGTGCCACCTTTGTCATAAGTCGAATGATTATATATGTCTGCTTGTGGGCCTCTATGCTGTTCCATTGATCTATTTGTCTATCCTTGTGCCAATATCGCAAAGTAAAAACCTCCTAGAATTTTGATTGGTACTATATTATAGTTTTAAGTCAGTTTGGGAGAATTGGCAGCTTAACAACAGTGACTGTTCCAATCTAAAACATGGTAATCTCTGTGTGCTATCTTAATACTATTTAGCTGGGTGCACATTACTGAACATCTACACTCTTTAGGGTGTAGATAAAAACTACCAAGACTCCTACCATTCTGGTTCCTAAGGGCCTTCTTCACAATGTCTGTTCCCTGCTTTTCTCTTACTTTCCTGAGTGACTGACACTTAAAATATTTTCAAACTCTTATAGGCCCTTGTAGGTCCCAACGGGGCAACAACATAAGGATATAATGCAATAACCCCAACACATTCACACTCAGTGAGGTTCCTATACAACACTGCTCCAGGAGGGAGCGTGTTTTCTCAGAGTGTCATTCATCAGGAAGGATATTAAAAACCGAAAGCAGAAAGCAAGTTTGTTTGTTTGTTTGTTTGTTTGTTTTAAGAAAACTATGCTGTATGCCTCCCTGGGAATATTGTATGCAGTTTTGGTCATCACTCCTCATGTTTTCTCAGAGTGTCATTCACCAGGAAGGATATTAAAAACCAAAAGCAGAAAGTAAATTTGTTTGTTTGTTTGTTTGTTTTAAGAAAACCATGCTGTATGCCTCCTTGGGAATATTGTATGCAGTTTTGGTCATCACTCCTCAAAAAAGAAATAATAGAGTTGGAGGGAGCCCAGAAAAAGGGTATATCTGATGGCCGAAGGGATGGAGGGACTTTCTTATGAAGACAGATCTAAACAAAACAAAAAACCTTCATATAAAAAAAGGGATATAACTGAGGTCTATGGTGGTAGAGAGCATGGATTAGGTGTAAATAGACCAAATCCTAGAATACATGTTTGGCACCAGCTCGTAGACACTTTTAAAAGGTAAATTTAAGGCAAATACTGGTGATCTTTGCCAAGCAAAAAGGAGCACACAAAAATGAGTAGATGATAGTTTCTTTAAAGGAAGAGGCTATTAAAGAAACCCAAGGCTATCAGCAGACACATTTTTATACTTTAAAGCTTGACATTGCTTGGTGTCACACAGCAGGTCAAATTCCTACTTGACAAGGGCCACCTACCTGAACCAGTGTGGCACTGTTTAAATTGATAGGCACATCTTGCTGCGATGTCAATTTCCTTTCATTCATCTTCCGGTGGGAACAGAGACTTTCTACATAATGATGCCACAGAGACTTGAGGACAATAATTAAGTTAATCGCTTCTCAAGGTTGAATAGTCCTAGTCCCTTTTATTTCCACTGTGGGTCACAATTGTTAGCCCTTGCCTCATTTCTGTGTCCTGCTTTGGCAACTGTCCCAGTTCTCTGTGTCCCTTTAAAGTAGTGGAACCCTGAATTTAATACAGACTCCAATTTTGGCAAGAGTTTCGAGAAACAGTGTTTGCTCAGCAAAATGTTCTCTTTGTCAGCTTTTGAGAAAAACTGCTCCATTCACTTCTGAACACACATACATACATCCCTGCGTGTCATGCACAGTGACAGTCTCAGCCCCAAGGAAAAGTAGAAAGGATTCCCCTTCCCCCCAGGAGGAAGGTGCCCATCTAGCGGAGGGTGAGGCCTGGGGCAATCCATATGCTGTAGCTTCTCTGGTGTTTTTATCTGGAAGAATCAAGTTCTTCCAGAAATTGGCAGAAAGAGCAGAGTTGAGGGGAGAAAGACATCAGAAAAGGACCACTAGGACCTTGTATCTGGTAGGAGAGAGAAGCTCAAGGAAGAACCAAGGGAAGATACAGGGGAGAGGAGGAATCTTTTCTACTTTTCCTTGGGGCTGGGACTGTCACTGTGCATCTTCCTGGAAGGAGGAAATAAGAACCTCAAAGTCTGGTGCTTGGGGTTCCTAGGCTCCAGGATGGCTCTGCACATAGAACCCTCATGTGCATATCCCACTGCTTCGACTGAGTCCTGAGAGAGAGGAGTAGATGTTCTCCAACTATTTGATCATCATCGTCATGTCCTTATGAAGCACAGCAATTTTTTTCAGGGCCACCTCAAGTCATACAGACCAAAGTTTATTTGCCTATTTGGGAAAATCTGAAAGCTTGCTTTTTCTACATCAAGCCAAGTCCAGGATCTAGCAATCGCTAGGCAGGAAATCCCTCTAAATAATCACAGAAACTAGAGCTAGAAGAAATCTTAAAGATCACATGGTCAAATGGATTTCAGTCTGATAGCGAGGGCCATAAGGATTCCTAGCAGCATCCCAAGTTATTGCGGAGGACAGGACTCTGGTATCCTTCACCTCTTCTACCAAGTCAGGTGAGCTGGAACTAGATTTCATTTCTTTTCATTTTTATATAAGGTTTTATGGGAACAAAATACCTTTAATAAAAAGTATTTGAAAATAGATTTTGTCTATTCTACTTCCCCCAAATTAAGACTCTTCTTAATAATGAGCATATAATATTCACACATATGACAGCTTTAATCATTAGAGTAGCCTCTTCCTTAATACTTAAGGTTTTATGATTCTAGTATACCTGGCAAATAATGAATATCGGAGTTGAGGAGGCCCTCAGAGACCATCAGGTCCCACCACCTTATTACACAGAGGAGGAAACTGAGGCACAAAGAGGTAAAAGAATAATCAATTGGTCTTTCCATGACCACTTCTAAAAATGATGAGCTTGCTACTTAACAAAGCACTTGTCTTAAAAATGGATCAAATATGTTTATTAAGTTAAATTTGCTTTGATCTCCACAACAAACCTTTTAGTTTAATTGCCTCCTGGTTTGGTCTGGGTCTTCTGAGCACCAGAAGAGGAATAAGGAATGGAAAGATACAGCTCAGCTTCCCCACATCTAAACTGCAGCAGTAGCAGAGTGGGAAATAGGGGAGAGAAAGAAAAGAAATAAATATGAAGCAGCTGGGAGCACAGAGAGACCAAGAACCTGACATGTATGTGTCTATTCAGCTAAATTCAGCCTTGTTCCCCACTGCAATCCTCCAGAAGACCCTCTTTTGTGTGGTTGTACCACTCTACAAGGCCAGGCGAAACAAATGAACAGCATCCGTTCTGGCCCCGAAGTTCCTAAGAGATCCCTGAAATGTGTGATGTGTCTCTGGATGGTGACAGGATGGTGAAATTCCAGAATTACAGGGCTGGAACAAACCAATGAGACCATCTAAACTACCACTCACTTTACCTGTGGGAAATCTGAGCCCTGAACAGATAAGTGACTTCTCATAGGTCCTATGTCAATAATGGGGCCCAAATCTCTGATGCTCAATCTTGTGTTCTCTTTGCTACACAACAATAACTGACACACATTTTGTGATTTTCCACTGCGAACTTGATATGGCAGTTGCTCTCATTATTATTCTTGTTTTCTAAATGAGAAAAGTGAGGCCTAGAGAGATGACTTGCCCAAATCCACACAGCCAGTTCAGTGGTGGAGCACAATCTTACAAGGCCTTCTGATCCCAAACTCTTTGTTCTACCCATTCCAAATGCCTCTTCTGTAGGGGATGCAAACTGGGCTGGAGTTTGGGTGAATTTCCAAAACCATCTACTCAGTTGCAGGGCTGTTCTGCACAGGGCAGGCCCAGTAAGATTCTACATGCAGCTGAGACAAGGATAAAAGAAGTTCTTGGTCTGACTGGAGGGTGGCCCAGTTGCCTTTAGGCCCCTAAACTTCCCCTTTATTAGCACTGTCTTATGACATACTCCTTGCTCTGTGAATCTATGTCCCTATGCTTTCTCCACCATCCCACCCGACCCCACTCTCCTGATTCCCAACTAAGAAGAACATCTGACAAATTCTCCATAAGGTCTGATGACTTATAAATTACATGGAGTAGGGATGTCTGTCTGCTTTGCTCATTGATATATCCCAAGGTCATAGAACAGTGCCTGGCACACAGGAAGTACTCAATAAAGATTATGAACGGAGCGCACAGGGTATGGGTGAGCTGGAATCTTTCTCAAGAGAAAGGCGATGAGGAAAATTGCCAAAGGCAGAGGGACAGATAGAAGAACTGCAGGCAATAGGATGGGTATGAGGGATGACAGAGAAGCAGAGGGGCCCGGAGGTACAGTGGGAGAGGAGATGGCACCAGAGGGTAAGAAAAAAGGACTGACTAGGTGTGAAGGGCCCAAAAGGCAGAGGCATGAAGAGATCAGAGGACCTGAAGATGGGAGTGGGTAAGGAGCCAAAGGCCTGACGCTGCCCTCTCCCTGTGAACCTCTGTTCACAGAGCCCCTGCAAGGAGTGAACATCACCAGCCCAGTGCGCCTGATCCGTGGCACGGTGGGGAAGTCAGCCCTGCTTTCTGTGCAGTACAGCAGCACCAGCAGCGACAAGCCCGTGGTGAAGTGGCAGCTGAAGCGGGACAAGCCAGTGACCGTGGTACAGTCCATTGGCACAGAGGTCATTGGCACCCTGCGGCCTGACTATAGAGACCGCATCCGCCTCTTCGAAAATGGCTCCCTGCTTCTCAGCGACCTGCAGCTGGCCGATGAGGGCACCTATGAGGTCGAGATCTCCATCACCGATGACACCTTCACCGGGGAGAAGACCATTAACCTCACTGTAGATGGTAAAGTGCTATAGCAGGGAAGGAGACAGGACTAGGATTGGGACTGGGGCTAGACCCTGGGAGAACAAGCACAAAAGCCACTTGGTTGCTGAGAGTGAGCCAATTGGATATTAGAAGTTGGCAGACAGGCTACAGTTAACACGTATAGAGGGCTTACTATGGGCCAGAAACTATTTTAAGTGCTTTGCAGATATCGACTCGTTTAATGCTTATAATAATGTAGGGATATTATTATCATTATCCCCATTTTGCAAAAGAGAAAGCTGAGGCACAAAGAGGTTGAATAACTTATTAAGTCATGCTGCTAGGGATAGAGCCAATATTTGAAACTAGACAGTCGTACTTAGGCTTTTTTGTTTCAGGCTGGCTCAGTTTAAGAAATCTTAGAAAGGTATTTGAGAAGAAAGGACGGGAAGGCCCATGAGGGCAGGGGCTATGGCTGTCTTGTTCAGCTTTGTACGTCCTGTGCTTAATAGGTGCTCAATAAATAGCTGGTAAATAAATGAGTGAGTGAGTGAGTGAGTGAGTGAGTGAGTGAGTGAATGAATGAGTGAATGGATGGATGGACAATGGTGAAGAACTGGACTAATGATCTCTTAAGGGTCTTCTCAGACCACAAATGGAGTTGTGCTGTGTTGGAAGGTAGGGAGTTAAGAAGGGGAAGGGAGAAGCTTTTTTGTCCCATGGCTCACGGACTCCCCACCCCCTGGGCTCAGTGCCCATTTCGAGGCCGCAGGTGTTAGTGGCTTCGACCACTGTGCTGGAGCTCAGCGAGGCCTTCACCCTGAACTGCTCACACGAAAATGGCACCAAGCCCAGCTACACCTGGCTGAAGGATGGCAAGCCCCTCCTCAATGACTCGCGAATGCTCCTGTCCCCCGACCAAAAGGTGCTCACCATCACCAGGGTGCTCATGGAGGACGATGACCTGTACAGCTGCGTAGTGGAGAACCCCATCAGCCAGGGCCGCAGCTTGCCCATCAAGATCACCGTGTACAGTGAGTCTCCCTGCTTGCCTTCCCTTAGGACACAAAACCCTGACAGTCGGGTGCCCATGAGGGGCTACAGACATCCCAGACAGAGGGAGAGAGAGGCAGAGATGAGCCAATTCTCTGTGGAAGACAGCAACAGGTGGGAAGTGGGCTCTGGGCAAACTCTGCCATGGGCCAGCCATACTGCCTGGGGCTCTTTTTCTCTTCCATCCACTGCAGGAAGCTCTCCTCACCACACCTGGTGCCTCCTCTGAAATTTCTCCCATATCTCTGTCTCTCTCTCTCCCTAGGAAGAAGCTCCCTTTATATCATCTTGTCCACAGGAGGCATCTTCCTCCTTGTGACCTTGGTGACAGTCTGCGCATGCTGGAAACCCTCCAAAAAGTCTGGGTAACTCCCCAAGTTCCACATCCCGAGCTCCCTAATTCTTCAAGCCATCCCAACCCCAAGCTCTCTTCTTTTCTTAGTCTTTAAATGTCTTTCCCCTCAGGGCCCTGAACCTCTTCTCAGGAGATCCATCTCACCACTGTGTGTGTTGTGTACAGAACCACCTCCTCCACTCACAACCCCTGGCAACCCAGCACTGTTAATAATGGTTTCGCTTGCAGGGCACCTTTCATGGGCCAGGCACTGTGGTTGTGGTTAGTGTGATGCCTTGTAAGTATGAGTACCTGCAGTTTACAGATAAGGACACTGAAACTCAGATTGCTTAAATGACTTGCCCACAGCCACAATGATAGCGACAGACTTAGGATGCAAATTTAGGTGTGACTCATTCCAGCTCATCCTTCTGTTACAAGGCTTCTCTTACAGCTATCAAATCCCGCTGTGTCTCATCCCCAGACCTCCTCCTGCTCATACTCAGTAGCTCTGTTCATGGGGTGCTGGGTTGATTTGCAGGAAGAAAAGAAAGCTGGAAAAGCAAAACTCCCTGGAATATATGGATCAGAACGATGACAGCCTGAAACCAGAAGGTGAGCTCCCAGCTGCCCATTCACCCATCCCATCGGCACTCAGATCAGTGGGCTGCTGGGAAAAGGCAGAACTGGGCAACAAGGAAGCCAGCTCTGCAGGGCCCCTTCCTCCACCAACTGCCCGAAGACTACAGAACAGGGAGAGGTGCGGCCAAGGTAGGACCCTAGGTGTTGCCAATCCTTTGGTGGAGGTTGTGGCAGGAGGTTGTGGCAGGAGGTTGTGATCCGCAAGCAGGATGAGGCTGGCCCGGTGGGGATTAGCGCCTGAGCCGCCCCGGGACCTGCCCTACCGGGACCTGTGCATCCTTGACAGGCCGCTTGGGAAGCAGAATCTAGGTGCTGGCTTGTGGGAAGGGTTCTATACCTGGGTCAACCACCCCATTCTTTGCCCTGTGCAGCAGACACCCTCCCCCGAAGTGGAGAGCAGGAGCGGAAGAACCCCATGGCACTCTATATCCTGAAGGACAAGGTGAGTGGGTGCCTCACAAACACCAATGAGCCCCCTACCACCTCCTGGTGCTAGGTAGCCATACTATATTGATATCTCTTTACAGCACTCACAATAACCTGAGAAATAGTTGTGTCATCCCCACTCCAGAGATTAGAAAAATAAGGCTGACTTAGGTGAAATGACTTGCCCAGTATCCAACAAGGAAATAAGTTGCAGGTCTAGGATCCCACCTAAGTCTTTGGACACCAACTCTGATGATTTCCCCACATTCCACAACTAACTCTGTTCATGGGGTGCTTTCCATCAAGATAGGAAAGAGACTAACGGGACAAAGCACTGCACTTAATGCATTTCAACATTTACTGAGCACCACGCTAAATGTCGTGTATTGCAAGAAAATCCAGACCTATGCCTGCCACCTTCCAGGAGGTGGGAGTGTGGAGGGAACTATTTCCATCACCTCGGTCTTCTCAGCGCTCTTGGACACCAGGGCGCCTCCAGACCGGGCCGCTGTCCGCTGACCCTGGCGCGTGTCCTTGCAGGACTCCCCAGAGCCGGAGGAGGACCCCGCCCCGGAACCCCGGAGCGCGACGGAGCCCGGCCCGCCCGGTTACTCGGTGTCGCCGGCAGTTCCCGGCCGCTCACCAGGCCTGCCGG